TATGTCTGAGCCGGATAACACACCATCTAAAGCAGTTAACCCTTCGCCGTGTCTGTGTTGACCTTTGCCTTGACCAGATGTCAAGCTCAAGAAAGGAATAGACGTTTTAAAAATCAAATCGAATAAATAAATAAATAAACGAATGAAAACGGGCAAGAGAAGACAGCTCCGTATAAGGATGAAATCGGGGCGTTAACATTCGTAGACAAAAGCGAGAAAAGAACATGGATGAAAAAAAAAAAAATAATAATAATAAAAACAAGAAAAACGAAAAGACCCCCAAAAAAAATCAGTTGATTACAAAACAAAATGGTGACGCGGGATGTAGATTGTTTTGATTGAATCTTTTCAAACGAGATGCGTGATTGTGAATCTCTGCAGCCCTCCCCGCGCCATCATGTCCCTATTATTATTCATCAATATTGCTCGGTATGAGATATTTACAGACAAAGGCCGCAGGTGAAATCAAACTCCTTCCCGCCAAAAAAAAAAAAAAAAAAAAAGAAAGAAAGAAAACGAAAATAATTTTTCCTCTCTTCAGTCTATTCAGTTATGAAATCTAAATCTAAAATTCTTCGAATATGCGCCGTGTCTCTACAGGACGTTGGCGATCATGTCTCTCCCCAATTTCCTTTCCTTTGTAACTCCTAACAAATCATATCTTTCTGGTATACCCCCTAAATCCTGTTCCGCCACCCATTTAACTCAAACTAGCTAGGTAAATAATCACCACAGAGATCCTTCCATGCCCTCCATTAGAATGTCTGACGCTCAACTTGAGAGCACCTCTCTGCGGCTGCTCGGTCTCACGTTGACTGCTGACCTGAGATGGAACAAATACATTGAGTCAATTGCTTCGTCCACCGCAAGGAAAGTTGGCTCCCTGTTCCGCGCCAGTAAATTTTTCACCCCGGAATCGATCCCCCAGATCTACAAATCAACAATTCGCCCTTATATGGAGTATTGCTGCCATATATGGTCTGGTGCCCCTTCTGTTTGCCACTGGGTTCTTGATAGGCTCCAGAGGCGGATATGCAATATAATTGGCCCTGTTCTGGCATCTCGTCTACAGTCACTTTCTCGCAGTCGCCTCTCTCTGTCTGTTTTACAAATACTTTCATGGCAATTGCGCCGAGGAGCTGCATTCGCTGGTTCCCAGACTTCATGAATTCAAGCGCCCTACGAGACTGGCATCCCGCTCTCACCCTTTCACTGTCGAAACTACTAATTGTAGCCGTCTCTTCTACTCCAATAGCTTCATGTCTCGCACCTCTCGCCTGTGGAACTCCCTTCCCTATTCCAGTTTCCCTGAGAGCTATAATCTCCAACTATTCAAATGCAATGTCAATCGACATCTCCAGTTGCCTTGATCTATTCACTATCCTTCTCCTCATCCTTTCTTCTATCACTCCTATCTGATCTTGCTCCAAATCTTCTGTAACCCCTTGCGTCCTAGTGGCTTCCCGCCTTGCTTGGGGTGAAAAGCTTAAAAAAATATTATGCGCAACTTTCCCCTTATCTTCACTCTGTCTTGTGAGTATCAAATTTTCCAAGCCTCCTTTCCTCATTATGTACGCTAGAAAACTCTTCTCTTCCTGATGTTAAGTATCAGTGTCATTTTTGTTCCCATTTTCTCTAAAACTTCGTAGTTGCTCCCGTGTTCGGTCCAGCATCCTTCAATAGAACCACAATTTCTGATGATTCAAGTCTCATCCTCTGTGAGGAGATTGCCAAGCATAAACTGCCATATATGAGGACTGATATTACCTAACAGTTCAGTACCTTTTTCTTTGTTTCTAATGAAATTTTCCTGTTTCTTAATAATTTGCTTAACTTTTGGAAGGCGTCTTTCGCTAACACAATTTCGCTTTCGGATTTCACTGTCGTACTTTCACTCCTCTGTTAAAACCCTTCCCAGGTGGGATAATGGATAGCGGCTCGGATTGAGGAATCGGAGAGCCGAGTTCGAATTCCAGTCGAATCCATTACATTCACTTACGCGCTAATAACCTCGGTAAAGGTATGAATCTCCCCCCCCCACCAGTTATGGGTAAATAGCAGGACAGACCGGGTTCTATAGCCTTGGATGGGAACTGGTCAACCGCAGAAAGAAATGGCACCTTGCTGCCTCGTATCGAAAGATACATGATAGCCTAAGCGTATATCACGCATGGCACATGACTGATTTGTTTCATTTTGGTGTCTCTAATAGGAAAGTTATGGATCGATCCCTTCTCAGCCCTGCCCCAGTCATGGCTTGAATAGCAACGGAAACTGGGCAACCAGTTTACGCCAGAAAGAAACGGCAACCTACTGCTGGAAAAAATCTTCTGCCTAGCCAGTCCTGAATCGAAAGAGACATGATCACTCAAACGTGTAACACGTATATTTCTTTTGAGTCGGTTTCACCCCAATCGAAGCCCCTAAGACACAAGGTACTGAATGTGTAAGAATCAGGAACAGAAACATTAATAATATGCGGGAAGAGAAAAGAGTAATCAGGGGGAGAGCAGATAGCAATTGACATTGCATTTAATTTTTTTTGTACGGATAAAAGTTGGCTGCAAAGCATGGGATCGGAAGGGAGTTCCACAAGCGAGAAGTGCGAGAGAAGAAACTGTTAACATAGAACTTACGGCTACATCTAGCCAGCTCAACTGTCAATTAATGACAGCTCAACGGCATTACAGAACTGCGCTTAAATTCACAAAGTCTATGTATAGTAACAAAGAGTGATATTTATTTGTATTTTTCTACAAAATGTGGCACAAGGCCAAAATGAGAAATGCCGAAGAGGACGGTCTTCTTCTGTCTTAACGTTTAACTTAGCTAGCCACAAACACCGAGGCAAACATAGAATATATTTCCTTACCCCAAAACAACGCGTTGCTACTTACCTTGCTTACTACATTCACCATAATACCTCATTGTCTCTATGAAAGTCCTAACTAGTCCCCTTATGTACAATTCATTGTCTGTCGGAAGAGGGGATTAAAATAGCAATTTAAAAAAATCTAAACCCCAATGAATATTTACAAAAGATGAACAAAGCTATTTGCAAGAAACTAAACAAAATAATACTAGTAATAAAAAAACCCACAATCCCTAAATGAGGCAGAAGCATCAGTTAACTGGACGAAATCAATGCCGGACTCTAATACTGTAAAACATTCATTCATTTCAAGCACTCATTCAAACAAAACGGTATACGATGAGACCCGTTGGTATGACGCTTGCATGGTATCATAGTGGTCCGGGTTCGATTCATGGTAGTGGATGCGCACTGCTGATAAGTCCCAAATAGGACGAAATGGCATTCTGCATTCTATTGAGGATTCTTCTAAACTCGATGAATTGCTTCATTATGATTATTTCAAATCCACCTAATAATTTCTTTGATATATATATATATGCGTGTGTGTGTGTGTGTGTGTGTGTATTTCTTAAAAAACGACCGAGGAGGTACTGCCGTTAAGTTTATTTAATTGTTCTTGCTATTATTTTCTTTGAAGAACTTAGCAATCTGAAACAAAAGCTAGTTAATAACGGTTTTCGAAATCATCTCATATATCGCCATATTAGACTTTTCTTTCTAAGGTAACCAATAGCAACACTGAACATACAGAAAAAATACCATTAATATTTTCTATGAAAATCAAATGTATGGTAACTATAAACAAAATGAATCTTCCCTTAAAAACACCATAAAGAAAAATACAACTCCAGTCGACAAACAGAAGAAAAATTAAATTAATTATCTACTTTAAACAAATTAAAACTGCTAACCTCATTGTCAACAAGCCTAAAGTAACCTAATTTCGAGCGAGGTTGCCAAAGTTCAAAACAGGACAATATCCTCATATCGAAGAGCGATATTTATTCTGTTTTCTACAGAAATGTGGCACAAGGCCGTAGGGGGGATTGGGGAAAGGACGGCCTTCGTCTGTCTTAACTATAACTTAGCTAGACGCAAACACTGACCCAATCGTACGAACAATATTCCTTACACCAAAACAACACATTCATACGTACCTCATTCGAACAATTACCATGAAAGTATTTATAGAAAAGACACCTTACGGGGATGAGAAAGTGACTGAAGCCGATCCGGCCGATCAGGATCAATAATATTGCTGATTCTTTTTTTCTTTTTTTTATTTTAATGACTCTCAACATGACTGAATGATCTCCAAGTTGTAATTTACACGTCAGGCTGTTGCTTTTGCTAACAGCCATCAATTTAACCTTACATAATTCAGTTTACAAGTCTCTTTCTTGCTTTTTGTCTCTCCATAAAATCACAGACGTTAAAATCGGTGTAAACTGGACTGGCAAAACTTGTGGGGAGGTAATGCATCTGGTAACATTTTTTTTCTATTTCCATAGAAGCACGTATTTTAATCAGAATGGCTTATTACTGTTTTTGCAAAGAATTCCTATGAAACTGCAAACGTTCGCTTCCGCCAAGGTTTCTTTCTCTCTTTTTTTTCTTTCTTTTTATTTACTTCCTGTTTACGGTCATATCATATTGAAACACTGTTCCCCCTGCGATCGCAAAGGTTAAGCAATGTTGAGTTTGTCAGTACCTAGATGGGTGAATGCTTGAGAATAGCAGATGTTTTAGGCTTGGTTGTGCTGTTCGGATAGCAACCAGTCTGCCGCAGAAGAAAAAAACGGCAACTTAATGCGGGAAGATCTTTTGCCTTGTCAGTCATGAATCGAAAGAGACATTACTGCCCAAGCAGTTGAAACACCGGCTACCGTACGGTCACGGAGGTTAAGCAACTTCTATCCTGGTCACTACCTAGATGGGTGACCGCTTGAGAATACCAGATGTTGTAAGCTTGGTTGTGCTGTTGGGATGGCTTACGGCCATATCACGTTGAAACACCGGCTACCGTAAGGTCACGGACGTGAAGCAACATCTAGTCCAGTCTCTAGCTAGACGGGTGACAGCCTAAGAATACCAGATGTAAGTTTGGTTGTACTGTCGGGACGTCTGACGGCAATATCAGGCTGAAACACCGGTTCCCGTACGATCACAGAGGTTAAGCAAAGTCGAGCCTGGTCAGCAACTAGATGGGTGACAGCTTGAGAATAGCAGGCGCTGTAAGCTGGGATGTGCTGTTGGTATAGTTTACAATTATGTCACATTGAAACACCGGTTCCTGTACGAATCACCGAGGTTAAGCAACGTCTTGACTGTACAGTATCTAGATGGGTGACCGCTTAAAAATACCAGATGCCGTAAGCTTGGCTGTGGTGTTAGTATGGATTACGGTCATAGCACATTGAAACACTTGTTTCCGTACGATCACTGTGGTTAAGCAACGTTGAACGTGGTCAGTACTTATATGGGTAACAGCTTGAGAATGCCAAGTGATGTTAGCTTGGATGTGCGGTTAGTGTAATGGATAAAGGCTCGGAATTGTTAGTCGGAGAGCCGTGTTCCATTTCTACTCGTCTTCTTTATATTTTCTTATGCGCAAATACCCTTAGGAAAGATATGTATATAACTCTTCTTCCTCCAGCTATGGATTAATTAGCATGATTTGTATCATTAAAGACATTATTATCTTAAAAAAAAAATTCTTCAAATTAAAAATAATTTATAGCTTTAAATAAACTTCAAAGGGTTGGTAAGCCGTAAAAAAACAAATCATTTTTAACTTTCATTTTTAACACTGTTAATATATTAATATTCTTTAAACATTAGGTGATTAATCTTCAACTAAGTCAATTCTCTGAGCGTGCGTATTCGGAAGAATTTCCGGCGCGCTAGGATTGTTTAACATAGGATATACATTACGAATTACGACTTGAGATAAGCCTTTCTAAAACAGATGTATAACTGCAATAAGAGTAGTGATGTGACACTATGATTCAAAGCGATTCAAAGCAATCAATCTCTATCTATAGAAGCAGGATGTATGTTTGTGTGTAACGAATGCACGGCCGCAATTTTCGACAGATTTGCACCAAAATTTACATGCACGTGCTCCAAGTTAGCGGGAAGGCCAAGATTGACTTTGCATTTCCCAACTCCCATCGATAGTGGAAATAATCGATTTTTTTTCATGCTTTTACGGCAGTTTTCCTGTAGTTTACGGCCATTTTCTACTGACCAGAGTGAGAGCCAATAGCTGGCTGCCACGAATAGGCAGGAAGATTCTATTGGCCAGCGTGAGAGCCTACAGCTGACTGACACGAATGGTAACTAGCATGCTAGCATGCACAAAAAAATCGATAGCTGCATTCGTCACAAGTGGGAAAAATTTAAATCTGCATGGCACTTTACTCCAATTGGCTCATTCGCTTGCTTAAACTCAACGTTGATTCTGATTCCGCAGAACTGGGTTTGGCGTGAAAAAGTGTTGTTAACATTCTTTTTTCATTCGGTTTTTCCAGTTACGAGTGCTTTTTTAAAGCTGATCGTTTTGTGTTCATTTTGTTTAGTTCTTTTTTCATAACAGATTTAATGTTTAGTATAGAGCTCAGAAAAAATTCTCAGTGTGAGATAGGCAAGAAGTAAGGCATGTAGCAACATCAGCACGACAAAGGGCACTCCTTTAAAGGCAAGGAAGGGCAAAAATATTTTAAGTTAAGTGATAGCGATTGCTGTATGAATCGTACGATTTTTGAATCAAGCACCGGCAACGCCGGACCGTGCTGCTAGTATATATGTATGAGTTAATATATTCACAAATCTCCCCATTTGGCCTTGATTACTGCAGCACAAATTTTTGGCATTCGTTGCAAAAAGTTTCTCAAAGTTGATTATATATATATATATATATATATATATATATATATATATATATATAGCTGGATTGATGTGAGTTTGTGAGTCTGGCTTTCACGGTCTCTGCGATCGTCAGACAAACTGATTAATTTTTAAATTTTGGATTAACTTATGGTTGCGTATATAAATAAATAAATCTAAAATTCAAAAAATAAATAAATCCAAAATTTAAAAATGAATCAGTTTGTCTGACGATCGCAAAAAGCGTGAAACCCAGAGTCACAAACTCACATCAATCTAACTAAATATGTTAGTTCTATCACTGATATGGAGCGCTTTCCAATAAGTACCGCGCATATGTATTGGGCCCAAACAGAATAAAATAATAGATAAATAAATGAAAACATTTAGTCTAGTGACAACAAACCAGATGTTGAAGACAGCCAAATCGCTGGCCTATATTAACGGTCACAGCTGCGATTGAGGTGGGTCTTCTGGATATCCCTTGGGCAGACAGTCTCTCGAAGTGGGACAGGGTTGCCAGTTACCCGGTAAAGACAGGCCGTCGCGGTAGTACCGATGTCGCCCGTTAGAGTTGCCAATAGCGCATCGTAATGTTTAGATGAACTTTGGTGTGTAGGAGAGTCAAGGATTACTCGCTGGCTGAAAGTAAAAAAACTGATCTGTTAGCTTGAGATGTCAGACGTTGCAGAAATTGTTCCTAAATGTCAACGACCCACCCACCCTCATTCCCCAGACCCGGTGCATATTGGAAGCAGGGATCAAATGTAAATGTCCTGGTGCATACGAGAAGAAGTTCAGGAGAATGTAGATTTATATGTATATTTACATGTATGTACACTACAATTCAAAAATTTGAGGTACCCTCTGGTAATTTTTTAAAAATTCGGACAAAAAAATAGTTGTTTCGTACTTCAAATAAGAGAAAAAAATTACAAGTGAATAAAAACTTTTTATTACAAATTTTATTATGACAAAAAGAAAAAATAATCATTTTTATGATTAAATTTTGCTCTCGTCAAAATATCCACCTTTAGCCTTGATTACTGGAGCACAATTCTTTGGCATTCGTTGCAAAAGTTTCTCAAAGTATAAGTTTGACAATTGATTCCATTCTTTTTTTCAATGACTCTAAGAGCTCTTTTTTTCATTTTTTTAGATTTAAAGGTTTCACTCTTCTGTCAAGTTCAACTCAGGATAATTCTAGGGGTGGCTTCAAACCTTTAAGCTGCAGTGTATGTTTTCATGTGTAGCAGCCGCCTTTCCTAAAATTGAAGAATAATGTATATATGTTTTAGTATCAATGCAAGATTGTGCGGACGTCTAGGTCGCCAGTGGCAGAAGAAGGTATGCATTGTATGAGTCTATGTGAGACCGCGTCGGTCACGCATCTATCGTATTTTGGCTCTGGGTATACTACAATGACATCAACGTCAGAGAATGTATAATATTAATTTGTCAATTTTGATTTAAGTTGACTCGTCATCGAGATATTTGCTTCAAAAATGCTGCTTGGCTTCTGATTGGCTCACGATCAGTGACCTTATATCCTGGTTCCGAACAGATCTTCTTTCTGATTCGCTTGGTTGACTATATCCTGGTCGGGACTGTTTTTTATTGGTCGAAATATGACTTCAAACGATTCTTAATATACATCTATTTTTTTTTTTTTTTTTTGAGATGGTGAAATTTCGGTCTCCGAGCTATTATTAATTTTGATTTATTTACTTAATTTTCTATCACTATAATGGGACGGTTAGTTTTTTGCTTGCTTATGGACAGAGTTAATATATTCACAATATTATTTCTTATCTGGGAGTGACAATAATAACCAAAGTCATGTTGTATCATGATCAACGATCTGTGTGTGTGTGAGAGCAACAATATTGACAGTATCTTGTAGTTTATTTGTCAGCGGATAAATTCTAAGGATGTAGATGGTTGAGAGAGGTAGATTTGTTGATCCTATGGATCAACTAGTTTGAGTTTAATTATAAACAGTGATAATATCTTAACACTATTCCTTTTTTTTTCTTTAACCATTTTACCCCAAGCAAGGCGGGGTGCCACTAACACGCAAGGGGTTACAGAAAGTGGGAGCCAGAGTAAAGAGACGTGATAGAGGAAAGGATGAAGAGAAGAACGAGGAATTAGATCAAGGCATCTTGAGATATCGATTGACCTTACATTTGAATAGCTGGAGATTGTAGCTATCAGGGAAACAAGTAATAGGAATGGAGTTCCACAGACGGGAAGTGATAGACATGAAGCTATTGGAGTAGAAGAGATGACTACATTTAACCGTTTCGACTGTGAAAGGGTGGGACCGAGATGCCAACCTAGTAGCACGTTTAAATTCCTGGAGTCTAGGAACCAGCGAAAGTAGTTCGTCGGAGCAGTTACCGTGAAAGTATTTGTAGAAAAGACAGAGGGAAGCGACGGCATGTCTGTGAGAAAGTGGCTGTAGACGAGATACCAGGTCACATTGCATATCTGTCCCCTGGATTTTGCCGAGGACCTTAAGACGAACAGCTGGGACACCAGACCATATATGGCAGCAGTATTCCATGCAAGGGCAAATGGTTGATTTATAGAGTTGAAAGATGGGACTCGGGAGAGAAAAAAACTTTCTGACGCGACACAGGGAATCAACTTTTCTTGCGGTGGATGAAGCTATTGATTCAATGTATTTGTTGCATCTCAGGTCAGCGTTTGTTTAATCGGATATCTTCGGCTTATTCTCCCGCGTTGGCGAGTAAAGCGTCTTCATATACACCGGAAGGTCGCCCGAAGCATGGTTGATCGTTTAGGTTAAGATAACACTGACAAAAATCAGCCAAACCACTTTTTGACTGTCCAAAGGAATTGGAGCAGTTTACAAATAAATATTCTAAATTTTATTTTATTTTTTATTTATTTATTTTTTTTTTTGTAGCAGTTCCGACGCTCAATCCTTTCCGAAATTCATCGAGCATAATATGGCGAAAGTGCAACTTTATATCCTCCATCTTTAAAGCATTCATTTGAAGACAAAATGTCGACATTCAACTAAGTCTGACTCGCAACTGAACGATGAAAGATTTCAGTCTAGAACACAACACAAGTCGACAGCGTCAAATTGCGGCTATTTTATATTAAAAATGAAAATCGGGCATCAACTTTTACAATAATCTCATATATATATATATATATATATATATATATATATATATATATATATGTTTACAGTAGATAGTTTAAAATATCTAGTTTTTAACTCATAGTTTTAAATAGATTTTTAGTTACCTCCTTAAAAAATTACACCGTGAAATTTAAATCGCACCTTACCGTTTTACACTTCACAGGAAATATAATTTGACACAAAGAATTTGTCTTCGACAAATGATGAACACAACATTTTTGTCTTAGAAAAACAACATATATATATATATATATATATATATATATATATATATATATATATATAATGCTTTTGGGGAAGCTTAAGTATCGCTTATGGGATGTTCATGGGATTTCACTGAAAACGAAAATCAGTGTCTGTCGAGCAATCATTCTCAACGCACTTCTTTATGGGGCAGAATCGGGGACGCCATAAAGGACCCAAATCAATCAACTTGATGCTTT